TCTCACCGGATCCACGATTAGTGCGAGCGTGCGGGTGGGGGTGGACTGTGGTTGCCCCTTAGCCTGTGGTTGCGTGTTTGTAAGTCTACAGCCAGCGCACCTAGCGGAAGTGAACTGAAACGTGCATGGTAACACACAAACACACAAACCAACACTCAAAGACACGCCGGTGAAAACATAACCTCCGCCAAGCTCCTGGCGGAGGTAGATATATGTGTTTGTGTGTGTCAAAAGAACGATAATTTTCTTGAAACTGCTCGAGAGTATATACTTACAACTAAATTAAAGCCCCACTATGCGCATCCAAACGCTAATTTCTCCAGTACTAGACTAGCAAATACTTTGTGTCATGCATAATCATACTACCTTATGACAAAATAAACTCTAGTTCCTCCCATTTCACTGCGCGTTGTCTTATAAAAGGCATTTGAAAATACCTCCAATGTTGTTCAAACTCTCCGATGTTGTTGACACTTTCGCGTTGCTCTGCCAGACAACCGCACAGCGGTGCTGCGGTACAGCGGTACGGGTGTAGCAAAGATAAAAAAAAAAGGTGACGTCACCTAACCGATTCTTGGCGAAATTGTTTGGCAAACAATTTAGCGTTGGCGCCAGATTACCAGATTTCGCACCTTTTTCTTGTGGGTTTTATGCAAACGCACAGTGAAATGGGAGAAACTAGAGTTTATTTTGCCATAAGGTAGTGTGATTATGCTTGACACAAAGTATTTGCTAGTCTAGTACTGGATAAATTAGCGTTTGGATGCGCATAGTGCGGCTTTAATGTAAAAATTATTATTTGAAATTAATATAGAAACAGAAATTTCCATTTTTAACAGTTATTAGACACACCTCCCGAATTTCTTTCTTGTAATCAGTTTCGTTCTATTCCGCATTGTTGTTTTTTTATAACATTTTTGTTGGCCGTACACCTTTGGTGCTTAGCATATTTTTCGCACTCAGTTGAGTACAGACACAAGATTCATAGTAATATGATTTCTTCGCAATAAAACTACAGTAAGCAACGAGTAATTGCTGAAATAACCGTGAAAAGGGGGGGGGGATATAATTGAGGAACGTTGTAACTGAGATAGTGGCATGTTTTGCACCCCCATTGCATGACCCCACTCAGAAATGAGATGTCGCTACCCTTGCTACGTGCTCCTTTGCTCCACATACCGCGAGGGTCATAGCACCCTAGTAATATATAGTACGTAAATAGTATACGAGTACGAACACGTATACGTACATATACATATATAATATAGTAACAAATACGTTTTCATTAGCCTGTGATAGCGCTTATGCGAAGCCAACTATAACAAACTAGGAAAAGTGACTACGTGCTGCCACCTATAGTGACAACTAGTAGTCTACGATGCAGATATGGTATTTTAGATAAGGCTGACAATGTCTATGACCATACTCTATGCCAAAAAACTGGTGATTCTGAAATCTCAGTCTTCTCGAGAAAGGTAAAATTGGCAGATTTTTAATTGGACGGTATTGTATCTAATAAGCTTCTGAATTCTTTACCATACGATATTACGACAGACGTCTGGCAAAGAATAAATTAATCTAATCGGTTCCTCAAACCCACGCACTTAATTTTTTCGTGGGAAATGTGATGCATATATATGCAAAAAGTAATGGAAAACTTCACGCATATTTGTGTATTTTATGTTTTAGATGGCTTCGCGCAGGCATGATCCATCTCTCCTGTGTGGGCGTCCATAATATGTACGTACATCATGTATAACTATATTATAATGATTACCTATACATCAATATGTGTGTGTGTGTGTGTGTGTGCGTGCGTGCGTACGTGCGTGTGTGCAAGTGTCTGCTCATTGGCGTGGTCCTAAGAACATAATTAACACTGATATAATATCAGGAGTGAATGAAAAACCTGCACTCGATTCTGATATGATCAGAATTGAGAGTCATAATATAGAATCTGAAGAGTTATAGCATGACTCGCTGGAAACATGTTAAATTGAACATTCACATGCTGAGTCTTATGATTTATTACGTAAAACTAAATACAAATTAAAAATAAAACTAATATTAATAAATAATACGTTTGTTCACTTCTGATAAACTCTGATGATCGAGTGATTATTATCCTCCAGATACTCCAAGAGTCCATAATAGAAATGATTTCCTATTTATATGGACCTTATATAATTGATTGTGACCGACGCTCCTAGTAATATCAGAAGTGAGTGATTTGTTTATCTTCAATTTTGCGCTCTGACATGGTTCTCTACGAACGTAGCATTGCGGGAATGTTTTGGGTTGGTTGCGTCATACATGTGTTCACTGTTGTGTAGGTATATCCATGGTATCAAGAGCATATAAAGAAGCCGTCTTTATAATTATGCTATTGATGGTATATCTATGGTTGCGTGAATAACGTTCCAGGAGCGTGGTACACTATAATGGTCTATAACATTATTTACAGTCAACAACATTCGGAAAACGTCATCCTTGACATTTTATTGCTATAATCATAGATATAATATATCACACATGTGTTTGTATAATCTATGCTATAAAGTATAATATTATAAAATATAACGATCAACATCGTCGCCGGTTCTCACGCCGGTTCCACGGTAACGTCGTAACGTCACCGCCTACAATGCTATAGACCAGACCCACGTCTTTGAGTGGCGCATTTAGTGAGCGTGACTGAAGGGCTACGTTCCTATCTACTAGAACGGAATACTATTACCAAAGATGGCGGCAGTGTATAAATGTTGTTATTTTGTGATTTCTTGATTGATCCGATTACAACACTTGTTAAAAAGCGATTAGATACTGGATAGCTAGATGGCATCATGCGCTACTACTAGATTAATAAAAATGCTATTTGTAATACTTATTGGAACTTTCGCTTGGTTAGCTGCAACCCTAGCAAACAATTATGTTGTCGAATTTCATGATACTTCAATACCTGACCACTCGACACAGCAGAAATTCAATGTTCGTGTGAATAACCCGTCAACATATTCACTTGGTGCCTCCACCAAAAACATGATGTGGTTCATCCAGGTAAACAAAAATGATAACGAACCCCAGCGGGTTGCTAATAGTAATAGTAGTAATACCTATTCTATATACTAATTTAGTAATTACTATAGCTGAGAGGGTCTATGTCCCCCAGGGTACTGCCGGAACGTACCCTGGTACTAGCTCTAGTACTATCTAATATGCCGGACCGTACCTTGCCTACTCCACTAACGAGTCTAGGGAGTCGCCTACGCCTACTCCCTAACCCTAACCCTAACCTTAATCATAGTGACTCCAGTCTCCATATCACTATCAGATAGTCACCAGGGTTCAAGGATAGAGATGATGTCCAGTACGGTGATTGGATAGGATGATGTTAGTTGATAAGATAGGACTGGACATCTTATCTATCCCTGAAAAAGGATAGAGATGATGTCCAGTACGGTGATTGGATAGGATGATGTTAGTTGATAAGATAGGACTGGACATCTTCTCTATCCCTGAGCCGTTACGAGGGTACGTTCCGGTATACCGGACCGTACCCAGGGTACGTTCCGGCAGTACCCAGGGGGACATAGACCCTATATGAGTAGTTTACATTAATTGACGTATTAACTAAATTAGTAAATTAGCCGTTTCAGGTAGTTAGTTGACAAATTGTAACCAAATGCTGACCAAATGTAGATTCAGAAAAGCATAAAAATGTTTAAAACTGGTTAGTAACAATGTATTCAAAAAACGAGATCTACAATCTATAATTATACAAAACAAAAAAATATATACAAAAGTAGAAGGTGTACATAGTAATAATCACTGCACATCCCTGGTCGGTATTACCCTGAGGCCTGAACATATATTTTTTTTATGCATACTAACGTTTTATATTTACAATTGTGTCCATGCTATAGTATTAGTAGGGACAGTGATTTTCCGTTTAAAAAAATTGCCTTTTCCGTTTAGGAAAATCATGAATTCCGTTTCAAAGTAAAGAAAAAATGGAAATTCTGTTTTGCCATCCTTTGAAAGAACCTTTAGGGTAATGTGTTAATAATAAAATCGTCGTAATTATAAGTCATTTCGCTCTGAAACTTGCCTGAATGTAAACTATATCATTTCCAATGCTATTGTCGACTTTTTTGTAATTTTATTGAAATTTCCATGTAATATGTTCAAATTACGTTTTTTGCGTTTTTACGTTTGAAAACATCTTTTCCATTTCCAATGGCCGTTTCCGTGTTTTCCGTCCGTTTTCCTCAATCGCGGAAAATCACTGTCTCTACTATAGTTTTGAACCATGTTAGTTGTTGACTCACTGCATATCAGTATTTTCATGTGTGGGTACATGTAATTTTTATTAGGTTTCAGACTTGCACTTCAGTATTTTCCATGATGAAACAGGTGAGCGACCACGTGACTTCATGGCTTTCTGCAATGAGAATGTAGATATCATAAGCCCAGCTGTTATGCTACTAACAGGTAATGATATATAATAAATAAATGCTTTCACAGTACTCTGTGTAAAACAGCTTAGAATATATATAGCAATCCGAATATCTGGAAAATGGCAGTAGCATAGCTGAAGGGTGTGGGTGCTGGGTATACACTATTTAAAATGTTTTGCATTATTTTGAATCCACCTGATACCCTGAATAAGCGAGTTCGTAGTTAGCTAAGGGGTTGTGTGACGTCACAGGTCACTGGGTCATTAGTGACAAAAATCGGCGAAATCTCGAGTGCGGCGTGAGCTCTCGGTTCAGTACATATATATTATCTGATATTATGTACATGTATTCTGTGTACGTGCACACGCATGCACGCCCTCACGTGTACGTGCACACGCGAAGACTCACTGTAGCATTACAACGACACAGGTGCATGCGTATATGTACTGTGTGGCCGAAATACGAAATGTTTTTCACAAATGACCTAACCCAGAAGAGTTCGTGGCAAAGTTCGCACACGCACAGACTGTAATCACGAACTCGCTTATATACATGTACAAGTACGTTCATATACTGATTTTGTTTAAATTTTATTTTTAATGAAATTATACAGCTTGTTCAACATGCAGTATTAGTTAGTTGGTATGTAGAGTGAGAAATTAACGCAAGTCCGGAGTCAAATACTCCCTGATTTACTGTCGGACTCCCTGGTTTGACATATATCCAGGAGTCCGTGTGGCTCCATGAAAATTCTGCTATACTGATTGGTCATTCCAGAGCATGGCCTCCCGGAATTAGCATATTTTTTCAGTAAATGTCCAAAGAAAATTTGGCAGACGTGCAACTGCATGAATCTTCAAAATAAGCAGATGCTTATTGCTAATAGCACAGTATTAGTTTAGTTTTGAACTTCAGACTGCGGAATCCCTCATTTTGCTGCGGACTCCCTCTTTTTGAGGGCCTGTTGGATTCCCTTGTTCAAAAGTTAATTTCTACCCCTGGTATGGCTGAGATGCTCTCAGTATGTTGCATCTGTTTATGAGCGTATTTAAAGCGTAGATGACCAACTTGAAAAAAAGATAACAGACTTGTGACATTAGTCACATTTGCCTAATGATATATCACAAAATTAAACCTACATATCTACTAACAATGTGGCAGTGGAAATAGATCCATGCTTACGTACCTATGTTAATCATTTTGAATATACCTTTACCTGATAATTAATACATTTAAATATGCATTACCTTTTAGCAAGTTTCTGTTACAAAGGTGGTTATAGTAAAATGTTTGCATTTGATCAAATCTCTTTCTGTTGTCTAGGTTATGTTTTATTCTTGTAGGTGATATTGTAGATGCCAAAGGTCAGTTGAACATTGGCTCGCAGCAGTATGTAGAAGAGTGGAAGATGTATGGAAATATTCTGAACAGCAGTAATGTTCTTCAAAAAACCAAGGTTTTAGACATCAGAGGCAACCATGGTAATATTAATCACTAATATGTTGGCAATAATATAGTCCCATTTTACTCCCAGAGTCATTTTTAGGCTTTGCCATTTCCCGAGTGCACTTTCTATGATACAATATATTCCATGTTTACATGTGTGTATGTGTGTGCATGCATGTGTAATTTTATCAGGAATTTTTGCACCATAATTCTGTTAATAAAAAAAAAAATTCAATCTTGGCAGTTATTTCATCATTTCTAATCAAATTGGATATGTATTAATCAACTAAATGTATTCATGGTTTTCAGATTCATTCAATGTACCTACACATGAAGATCAGGAGAATTATTTCAGGTAATTATTATTGCTAATTTCTCAACCCCTTTATTGTATTGTTTATATTGTGTATATGTGTTTACATTCAATTAAATATTAATTTAATTGTTGCTTAATTAGCCCCTACTTGGTTATGGCATGTGTACATTTAGGTATAAATTAAATAAATGTCTCAAATGATGTGAATTTAGGAAATATTCTGCACAAGGCCAACAAGGGAATCTTCACTCATACCATTACATACACAAGGATGGCGATGCTGAGTATTCCTTTATAGCTGCAGATGCAACCTTGTTGCCTGGACCAAAACGGCCCTTCAATTTCTTTGGTTATTTTCAAGAGGTAGGTATATAAGTTAGACTTGATCTCTTCAATTTTATGCTGCTTTCTTAAAAATTGTATTTAACTCATTTTAATATAATAGAGATTTAGTTATTCCTCTAAAATAGTGTAGTATAAGTAGTTACTACAACTGAACAAAAGCTGTATCGAAACTATTTTTGTACACAGGAAGAAATGACATTGCTAGAAAAATTTGCAGAGGAGAGTCTTTCTAGTAGTGGAACAGTGTGGTTTGGGCACTACCCAACCTCAATTATGTTTGCTCCTTCTCGATTCAGGCATGTTATGAGGTAAAGTACTAGTGATCGTTAAACGACACTGTCAGATAAATATTGTTTTATAGTGTGGTTATATCATGCTTTATAAATAAGGATGATTCCAAAATGCTTAAACCTATACTTGTCAGTTGTCTAAATTGCTCCACGTCCACGTAGCAACTATTTGACACGTAAAACTACAGTGTAATCTGTGCCTGGTGTACCAGAGTGGTCAAAGAGCAGATCTCTGAACCCTTTTTAACTTGTAGGTTAAAACAGTACTGCCTTTGTGTTTTATAATTTGGGTCGGGGATTATGTCAAAAAACTGTCCCACTTTATAATTGGGTACCATATGTCGAAATTCAGTGTTTGAAATGGTTTTCCAGGCTAGTGTGATGGACCCACCATGTCAATGTAAATTATCTGCATTGATTCAGATTAATTAATCAGTTATTGTGGTTTTAACTCTTTTATAAACAACAATGCAAACTCAGTAAATAGCTTCGTACAATTTCATGGAGCACGATGTGTATTCTGTTTTAACACAAAAGAAGTGTTTGTGTTATGTTTGATACTTGTTTGTAGGTCAGGCTTGGCCTACATGTGTGGACATCTTCATACATTGGGAGGAATTATCGATAGGATGTATGCTTTTCAAAAGACTGGAAACCTAGAACTAGAGTTAGCAGACTGGAAAGACAATAGAAGGTATAGCTTTGTATAAAAAATTTAAATTATTGCATTTTAATAATTTTATATTACTCTGTAAAAATATTCCACATGTACACATATTCAAGTGTTGTATCACAGGTTGCATTTTCCTTTGTCTGATTGTTGATATCAGTGACACTGACTTCATTGATTCTAGATTCTTGCTTTCTTCACTGATTTCTTTGCTGTGTTTACACGTTCTCACAGGTATAGAGTTGTGGCAATTGACCATGGATTGCTGTCATTTGTTGATGCGCAATTTAGAAAGTGGCCGATTATTCTTATCACCAACCCTAAAGATGCAATGTTTGAGATGCCATACCATGAGCCTCTAGAGAGTATGCTGAATTCCACTCATATCAGGTACCCGTGGCTAGACTGCCCATTATCAATAATCGTTCGATTGTGCCAATTCAAGCTGGGACGTTTTTTTATCAATATGTGGAAGCTATATGCATTCATTTCTCTTGAAAGTGTTTTGGTTTTGATTATGCACAAATCTTTTCTTAACAACACACTTTTATTGGACTAAATGCCATTTAGGAAAGTTTTTATAACAAATCAGGTGTTATGGTAAAATGCAAAACACTGATTGATCTCACTCAACTCAATCCACTTTCAATTGATCGTGATTCAGTAAATTTGCACTGGATTTACAAATTCCTAAAGCGATCCTGTTGTCATGCACACTGGTATATTGAAAGCTCATGGTTATGTCTATTTTGTGATAGGATATTGGTGTTTTCTCCGGGTGCTGTCAAAGCAGTGAAAGTGCGCATTGACAACGATCAGTGGAAGGACACTGTGCATGTCAGCGGACCTCTGTATGTTCTGGCGTGGGACCCCAGAAAATTCAGCACTGGTGTTCACACCATACACGCAACTGCTGAGGTGCAATATAGATTTCTGCTATTGTATTGCTATGGAATTTTGTCGAGCATTTTTCGTTTTCATCGAACTAGTTTCGTGTGATCTAGTGTGCCTACCAAAACCTAGTTGATTCTTAAAGTCCGATTATTTTGCCTAAAATACGTGATGTGTATTAAGATCACGTCCGTAGATGAGAGCACTGAGTGAGAAATCACAGTGCCCATAAGTGAATAGTCCAAGCTCACAATTACTCATGCTCATAAGCTCACATATAACGAAAAAAAAAGTGAACTAAACAGTGATTTCCTTGCCTCAAAGGGCTATTGTGAGTAGTGTCTCTACCCTAGTATTAGTAACACCTAAGTTTCGATCAGTTTTCATTCCTCATTTTAGAAATGTTTATCAAAATAATTTTTAGGTCCTGTCCTTGCTGTGCTGACCATGATAATGTGATGACCAAACAATCTTCTATTAATTTCGAACTGACAAAGTAGGGAACGTTTATCCAAACTCGTGTTCTGTTGAGTGTCATATTACATTATGTTTTAGGATGAAGAAGGCTATCATGGCAGCATCTCGCAGCAATTTTCTTTAAGTGGCAGTCCTGTACAACAGCTTAGCTTGCTGGCACGCCTGCTGCTGATGACAAATATATGCACACTCGTAAGTAACATGGAAATAATTGTAATGCATTTTTATTAGAATGAATTTAACGTAAAAACATTATTTTTCGATTTTGATTTTTCTTTACAACCCGGTCATGTAGCTGAGCTAGTTATTTAATCTTCTTTGTTTGCATTTTACATTATTTGTCACCAACTGGATTTTGTGTGGTTTTGTCGTGTGATTGTGCTGCTGTTCAGCATGTAAGCATCCGTCAGGAATTGTCATGAAAGCAGTGGTTGCTTACTAACGAGAACACTTTAATAATTTCTCTTTATTAATATTGCATTTCCAAGGTTGGGTATGGGTACATATATATGTATATATAAGATAAAGCTTTATCGGTTATCAAGTAAACTGTAAAATGTTATTACACCTGAATCCTGATGGGTGTAGGTAAAATAGACTCTTCTGAATAAAGCCATAGTGTTGAGTGTCAAGTCTATCTATTTGTATTGTTTAGTAAGGAGCATTAATATATGGTGTTGATTTTCATTCTGATAGCTACAATCAGTGTTTGCTGTTCTACTTGGACTTACTGTGATTCCTCTGACAGTTCTAAAGTTCTACAGACCACGCCCTCAATGTAAGTATTACAGATATGAACAGAGCAATGTCTGGTTTACCCAAAATTAGTAGTAAATAAAATGTATTTTATGAAAAGTATAAACATTATTTTGATGGCATGCTTGTTGGTGGCAGAACAATAGAAATATTTTTTGATGAAGAGGGCAATACTTGTTTTTGCACTATAAGGGGAAAATGTAAATACTGTATGATAACAACAATGTAAGACTACAAAACTAACCTCAATTATGTACATTAAAATGCTGTAATGTGTTCATGATTTTTCCTCCTACATAGTTTTGTTCTAATTATTGCATGAACTTTGTGCTTCAGAAAACGTTTGAAATCTAAAGAGAGCTGCATTTTTACTGAATATATTTAATGTTGTTTCCTTCATGTTGCAGTTAATTATGGTTGTTCTCCCATATCATGGGTAAAAGTGTTGCTATGGAGACTGCATTTGCTTGCCAGTGTGAACGAACTGTTTTACCCATTGGTGCTCTCTGCAGTTTTCCTTACAGCAGGTAATTAACAGTTTTGGAATCGCTTTGTAAAGATACATCTAAAGGTATAGTTGTATGGTAATGCTACATGCATGGTAATTGAAATTCTCAGTGGTACACTAAAACACGTGTTCCTCCTATCATGTGTAGACACGCCAATCTGTGTAAACTGCTTTAATTTCACGATAATATGTGTACATCACATGCTTGCAAAATGATTTATAGTAGTGAATGAGATTGATTTTATGGAAATAAAGAGCAAATTTTTTTATTATCGTGTAAATAATTACACATCTTATTGTTTTGTTATGACAATACACAGGTCCATTCTTTGTTGGAGAAGCGATGGATGGCCATATAGCTGTGTTCTTTGTGTGGGGTATATACATCAAAGGATCTTATCTACCGGGAGATGTAACATTCACATATGGAATCGCACATGTAAGTATTTGTCAGATTTTTATAAACAACACATTAACCTTGATTGGAGGTATATACTAGATGTAACCTATTTATCTTGGAGGCAGTGTGATTAGTATTCCCTTTATATACCTGTTTTCCTTCTACACTAATCTGCTTCATCCTGCTTCATCCTGCTTCGTCGTTGCATCTCATTTGAATGTTTCTGGACCATTCTGCCTGTTGAGAAAATGAGCTACATATACCCTCATTCCTTTAAAGGAACAGTAGCCTCTAGGTTCTAGGGTTATTTTCAGCTAATTTAGGTTATAATTGCATGTATGGCTGTGTGTATGTGTCTGTATGGCTGTGTGTATGTGTATGTATGGCTGTGTGTATGTGTGTATGTCTGTATGGCTGTGTGTATGTGTGTATGTATGTCTGTCTGCCCGCGTTTGTGTGTGATTATGTGTGCGTGTGTGTGTGCGCGCACGTGTTCGTGCATGTGTACGTACGTCTGTATGTCTGCGTGTACGTACGTGTGTATGTCTGTATGACTGTATATATGTGTGTATGCCACGCTGCGTATGACTGAAGGCAGCCACAAGTGGCTGCAGCATGTTACCTGCAGCATTGTACCTTTAGTGTGCTTTGATTCTCATGGGCGCACGAATATTTTAACATACTCGCAGACCCCTGGAGTCTATTCAAGTTCGCTTCAAGCTGTGACTCGAACCACACTCGGTTTTCTTAACCCTTTCGATTGAATTAGAACGCTGTACCCTGTATTAACTGGACCCGGCTTAGTACGTGGTTTCACACTCCCCGCATAACCGATCGAAAAACAACAGCCACTTGTCAGCAAAAAGTGGCGCTAGCATTACCGGTCGTTTCATAGCCTCGCTCAGTTTTGTAGAATAAATCGTTACGTGTGGCGATGGCGCGTAAGAATGTCAGTCTCTACGCGAGATCGGATTCAATACTCGTTTCAAATGCGCGATGGAGTCCATAATAGAAATGGATTCTATTATGGATTCTTGATTTAAATTTAATGTCTCTCGGTGGCAGGTATCGACATTACTGCTACTGCTACGGCTGAGAGCGTCTATGTCCCCCAGCGTACTGCCAGAACGTACCCTGGTACTATCTAATATGCCGGAACGTACCTCGCCTACTCCACTAACGAGTCTAGGGAGTCGCCTACTACTACTCCCTAACCCTAACCATATCAGATAGTTACCAGGGTACGTTCCGGTATACCGGACTGTACCCAGGGTACGTTCCGGCAGTACCCTGGGAGACATAGACCCTATGAGCACTGCTAGGAAGGCATGCGCACAGTCTGTGTAAGAGTATTATGGGCATGTGGTGAGAAAATCCCCTCCCCCTACCATTAGGGTCACAGTGCAAATGGAACTGAAATAGTTAGCATTCATTCTGCCGACACCCGTGTGAGTTGTACAGACACGTACATGTACGCAGGCGATTGAGTGTAATCAGTTACCAGGTCACGAATTCTACAGCAAAACCTTCAAACTGCCACTGCAGAGATGCATGCGGATTTCCTTGTCATTTCGGATTCATTAGTCAGTCACTATTATTCACGTAACTCATACGAGCTTACCCCCTTGTGTGAACAGCGAACGACTCGCTCACTACGTACACATAATTAGCGATTCAACAAGATTTAACAAGAATTAATTCAATGCGATAATCTGGAATTTGCGAGAATTTGTTTCCCCAATCGTCCGCTTACGACACGAGAAACTCGGAATAGTTGTCGAAGCCCCAACGAATCATCGAGACAATAAAGTTTAACGAGATGTGCCATTAGGGTGGTGGATGAGGACATCACTCGCTGCATCCTCCTCAGCTGCAGCCTCAGCTTCCGCTGCAGCCTCAGCTTCCGCCAGCTCACCTGAGGTTTGCCGTTGTCAGTCCGTTGCTCCTGAAGCCTGAAGCCATTCTCAAAGTGCAGCATGAGTTTGCAGTCCTTGCCCTGCCACGTCACGTGACACGTGATCTCCTGCACGTGTGCTGCCGCCTGGTGGGCGCCGGAGACGAGCACGCGCGTCCATGTTGCGAGGTCGCGGTTAGACTCCAGCTTGAACGTGTGAACCTCGACGCCCTGTCGCGTTCCCGTGCGCGTCCCGAACGTCAACGCGTCCGTCACCCCCGGGATCGCGTGACCAGACTTCCCGGTGGCGCCTCCTGCCTGCGTGACGCGCGTCGCGAGCAGCGGGTGCGTCACGACGGGCGTCGCCCACTCCTCCTTCGTCCACGGAACGATGTCGTACAAGAGAGCATCCTTCTCGGTGACGGCGACGAACACGGGCTTCCACTGGGGGGCGCTGTCGGCGCCGGCGGCGACGCGCTCCGACATCCAGCCCATGTGACGGATCTCGCTCGCGTCGGGAACGTTCGTTAGCATGCGGTTGGCGTCGGCGACGGCGGCATCTGCGAGTATCGCGAGGTTTCCGTGCGCGGCGTTGAACCAGAGGTTGGCGTCGGCTGCGTCGGCCGCGCGCAGCACGCAGGAGTGCCGGCCGTCCGGCGAGTGCAGCTCCAGGGTGCGCATGTCCGGGTCCGGCATGCTCAGGTTGCGCGTGAGGTAGGCGAGACGTAGCGGCACCGACTTCGCGTCCGAGCGCGACCCCCGCGCCACAGCTGCTGCCGCCGCCGGCTGCTGCTGGTCCTTCGGTAGGAAGCTGTGCTGAGTCTCCCAGCCTACGTCGGAGAGAGCGGTCGTCTTGCGGAAGTATGGCGTGACCTCGCGGAGGTACTTGACCTCTAGGTCGACGACCTTGCCGGCGCGCTTCAGGGCGCGGACGGCGTCGTCGTGGGTAGCGTCGCGCAGATCCTCGGCGTTGACGGAGAGGATGGCATCGCCGACGTAGAGCTGGTGCGTAAGGTCGGCCGCCATGCCCTTGAAGATCTTACTGATGAGGATCGGCATCTTGTTCTCCTTGCCGCCCTTGATACTGATGCCGAGCCCGTTGTTCTCCTGCTTGACGACCCGCACGGCGCGCTTCTGATTCGCTACGATGCTCTCCGGGAGGTTGTCTACGGGAGCAGCGGCGGGGCTTCCACCGTTACTGGTGCCGTCAACGTCGCCATTCATGTGCGTTTCGTAAGTGTCGTCGAGGCTGAGCGACAGGTAGTCGTCGTCGAGGGTTGCGATGACACGGTACCATTGCTGTCGTGAATAAACCTCGAGAACTCCCGTTCTCGCAACCGCCTTGCCCGCCATCTTGCTTCGCTTCTGTTGTTATTCTCGCCGGCAGACAGTGATTTCTCGCGATAGCGCGCGGGTAGAAACCGAAAGCTGTGTGTTCGCCTCACTAGATGGCGCTACATGGTTCTGTTAAAAACAACCATGTAGCGCCATCTAGTGAGCGCATATATCTGTATTCAATATCTATGTACATATCTATGCTATTATCAAACGAGTTATTTTCGGAAATTACTTTATTTTTAGAATTTATACTTACTTTCATATTTACTTCACTTTTTTACTTACTTATATTGACAGACAGCATTGTGAAAACAAACGAGTCCTACTCTTCATACCATTTATTAATTTATATAGATAATTATGTAGCAGATTGATAAAACAATTACTTAGGTGCACATTCTACATTTTACAATTACAAGTATTAACTTTGTGATAAAACGATAGGATTCAAAGGTTAATTCATCAAAATATTATATTCATATATAAATATCATATATCATCATATATTTATATTAACGCGATACTTGTGTTAATCTCCCAAACACACAAAAAAACAAGTATAAACACAACAAACAATTATTTAACATAATCGTATATTTCTTTATTTGTTGGAACCCAACATATAAGTAGTGACGGATGCACGGACACCCCGACGCATGCTTACTCCTGACATCTTATAGCGAGCGGCAGATAACAATCCGTGAAACAACTTGCCTGCAAGTGTCAATTACACATCGTTGCAGCAGCTATACAAGGTTTTCCCCGCAAACATTTCCACCCCACAGTTACCTTCCAATCATTTTACCAAAGGAAACTTGTACAGTCCCTCTCCACTTACCATACTAAGTTCGCAGTCAATTCACCAATAACTAAATGCGATTAGAGCAAACTATTTAAAATAACCAAACGTTCTAGCTGGTTTATCATACAAAATAGGCGGCAAAAATATAGATACAGTATAAATATAGAAACTACGCCGAGCAAGAGATGAAACTAACATTACAGCGGCTAAACTTTACACTAGAAATGCAATGTTTGCCACATGTTAGGAGCAGACCACAAACATTTTGCAAAATCTAAATGTCATCACTTTCACGAAATTCCCCGGATTCACGAATTATATAAACACCGCAGGCTGCAAGTAGAAAATTCATCACATCACTAGCATTTACCACCATGAAGGATCAGTTACAAAAACTGAAACACAGTAGTTGATCATAAAACTTCTAAAAAATACCATTAAAACAAAGTTAGCAAATTATACATACATGTATATGCATGTGTTCTAACCCAGGAAAGAATTTCTAGCAACACTGGAAGGCAATTTAATTGATTGCACATGTTCAATTTCTTTGTTATCAAAACTACAATACCATATATCTGTCACTGATCCTTGCAAATTTGCAAACCCATTTCCTCACCAGTACAAATCTAGAGGGCCAGCAAGCATGAGGCAAACCACTACAGTTACACAACCAATGGGTGGTAATCTTCTTCTATTGCCCTTCCTCACATCTAAAGGAGAAACATTCATATACAAACATCACAGCACCCAGTTCACACGATATGTGTAGGTATATACATACACTCATACACGCACGCACGCACACATATATGGATATCTTCACTTGATTTCTAAAAAGTGCTGAAAGGTGTCACTCGTGGGCAGGGGGCAGCACTGCATCTAAACAGATTATCACAGATTGGTCGACGAATATAAAAACTGAGCTGGAGATCTTGAATGATAGGCACGTGCCACCGAGGGTGCATGATAGAGGGCAGGACAGTAGGTCTGCCTCATAGATATAGGAAAATAACCCCTCGCAATAACAACTGCTGGTACAGCAATTGCATATGGGAAAACCCAATCAGAGCTGAGCATAAATTCACTTGGATGGAGGCAAGCGATGGCCCGAGTGACTGACTGTAGAACATCTCCTTCCTCCTATTACATATCTACACAGTCTGCATAATCCGGATGGAGTTTATATAACACAGAAGTACTTCTGAAGTAAAGCAATGCCACTGATATGCCAGACACGTTAAGGGTGTTGAGCTGGTTCCACAAGACGAATAACGATGAAATATGATAACTTCTAACAAATGTCAACTTCAGCACTGCAAAACAAACCACCCTTCCTACGTCACAATCGCTACAAATACTAGCAAATAGCTGCACGTAAATAAAACTGTATAGCGTGGATCTATGTACAGTGCATCACGGTGGGAGAGCACTGTATAGCGTGGATCTATGTACAGTGCATCACGGTGGGACAGCACTGTATAGCGTGGATCTATGTACAGTGCATCACGGTGGGAGAGCACTGTAGAACGTGGATCTATGTACAGTGCATCACGGTGAGCCAGCACTGTAGAACGTGGATCTATGTACAGTGCATCACGGTGAGCCAGCACTCGTTATAGCGTGGATCTAGATACAGTGGCATCACGTGGCGACAGCACTGTATAGCGTGGATCTATGTACAGTGCATCACGGTGGGCAGAGCACTGTATATACGTGGATCTATATACAGTGCATCACGGTGGGAGAGCACTGTATATCGTGGATCTAATTACAGTGCCCGATCACGGTTGAAGCCAACTGTATAGCATGGATCTATATACAGTGCATCATGGTGGGACAGCATTAGCATGTATCAATGCAATGCATCAAACTAAAAATATCGTGAAACATCACCACGCTGTAACGCACGCCACGGTCGCCACGACATGTACAACACACAGCATGGATGCCGGGACACACGCACATGACATCATCGGTCGTTTATAGAGGATCCAGAATCTCGACGAAATTCACAGGGAACATTCCGGTGTGGCCGTGGCACATCCCAACCATCCAGTCCTTGTCTACCTCCTCCACCAGCTGAATGACATCACCAGCCTGAAACGGACGAAACAAACGGTTAGCTTTTCGCATTTTATGCTACAGATTTAGTTGCGACGGACAACTGTCAGATGCAATTACAAAATTACAATTAGGATTACAATAACAGATAGAATTGTCACAGCCACTCCTTATGGTCACACTACCGTTAATGGCATCATGTCTATAGTCAACACCGTCTAAATCAGCCGCATGGTAATGGTCACACAATGCTGCAAGCACCAGGCTGTTACATTAAACCACAGGCAATTTAAAAGCAAAAGGATTGTAATATCTTATAAACGACATATAGTTTCAGTTATAATATGGATAAATTTGCCCTAAAATGAATATCGTTCGGTTAAATAGCATTTAGGTATAAATATAATTGCACTTTTGGGATTAGCCCTCGGTCATTTACCTGCAAAATAAAAATGCAAATACGCAACTTTTTCAGGGTGGCAGCACGGTCGCGGGTGTCATGGCGCCGTTCAAATTTCGTAGCGTTGATGTGTAAATAATTAATTAAGTATCTGGTGACAAATACATGTGGGTATAGACGATTTGTTATACAGTAAGTACAGTTGTATGCAGTAAAATCCTAGAGGCTACTGTCCCTTTAATTAGAAAATACGTGGTTGATGGTTACCAGGTAGATCCTGTCTTTCAGCTGCTTACCTTCCACTTACCGATGATTCTATGCCTTGCCGCCGTCATTGCGAAGCGATACCAGGCGAAGTTTCTGACTGTAGGTAGGACGCTATGCCTTGTGTTTCCTGTGCTCGTCGTGCTTCTCTACAAGATCTGGTGGTGTTTTACTTTCTACATAGCCTATGGTTACCTAACACTACTGCTGGGTCCAATCACCAGCTGGCCAATCGTTCTGGGCATGCTGTTGTTTAAGCGTGCCACTCAGTTTGATGGGTCGAAATTAAGGAATGGGGAGTATGTGCTCAATCTGCATCCTGTTGAAAATTGTGGTGCAGAAAACACGACGCTTTAGCAATATCCTACCGGTCTACTTTCTTTATTGAAATCAAAATGGGGTGCAGATTTTTACCAAATTTAATAACTAAAATCTTTAGGCATACATTTAACAAATCAGAAGATCAAGAAACCAATAAGAAATCTTTTAAGTCTTAGTGCCTTAGGCTTCGCCTATTTAACAGTAGTTTGTGTGAAATTATCCTGCGTCGTTTCCTTGACATTTTGAAAGGGTTTATATTTTTCTGTTAAATGAGCCTGCATGCTTAGTTTTTAATAAATTATTAAGTACACGGTACATTGATGTACGATTTTCCAGTTACGACCAAGTGTGAAGTTAGAAATTGTTCTTCTGTTACGTTGAATGTCATTGTGTAAAGGTCATATATTTTGAGGATTTTCCCATTATTTTACCAATCTCCAAAATTTGACCTGTTACCTGCCTAAAATATTTACCATCCCAATATTTACCATTGAACTACGTATTGTTTTTTGCACCCATTTTCTCGTGCATATTAATATGTGCAGCTTTGCGTAAATTTAATATTGATTCATGTGATTTATGAAATACTTGTAAATTATTGAGTGAAATACTATATCAATATTAAATGCTTATCATTATTTTTGTTCTCGTTATAAAATATTATTACTGTTTACTAGAAAAATTGCTTTATTTAAAACATTGCAGGTGTAGCAGAACTGTAACCCACTGATATTAAATAAAGTTGATTAATTTGTTGAATATATCTGCAGATACGTATATATCAATCTATAGTCTATGTATTAATGTATATATCTATATTACACATGTATTATGTGTGCTGCATTTTTTCCCTTATTAAATATAACGAGTGTATTTCAGCTCTATGAAAACTAGTCCATACAAGACCTCACAACAAAGATATTGCATGGTTTCAGTAACTCTAAACAGTATAAATTTACCATAAGTATGCAATAATATTATAATCGAAAAATCTCTTAAAAATCTAGCCTAAATACAGTCCAGTACGCTGTGTGATGGATGTTTTATTTTCAATTTTAGTAAGTGTGAACTTTCTGTATTTTTTTAATTGAAGTTACATAACAGAGAGATCACTGTTATTAGAGGTAAATAGATAGGCAAACGAGCCCACACGGTGGCATAGGGCATAGGTATGTGAGCAGTGAGAAACATGTATGCAGTAACTTTTTCAGAGCAGCCGTGACAAATATTACCATACAACCACTTCCACGTTTGGTTTGACCGATTGATAAATTTGTTACACAAACAAAATTTACATAAAAATGTATGCAGCCACCAAAGTCAGCAGAAATGGGGAAATGGGTCAACTTCACCTGGCACACTTAATGACTAGTTGACACCTTAAGATGTTCAAGTTTTTACTAGATACAGTGTCCATACACCGTGATGGAAAAACGTAAGGGGATAGCACCATACTTAGTTTTTATAAGCTATTCATAAATCAGAGAAGATGGCATAGGTAGAGTTCATAAAATACTTTGAAGATCTGTTCGCCAAGTGCTAATTTAATCCAGTTTAAACAGTATAATATCAGTTAATGAATAATTTATTATTTATTATTAACATAAAATTACAATAATAAGTTCATTAATAGAAATTCACAAGCACAGAAATATTTTATAATAATTATGTTTCATGGGAATATTTTAATAATTGAACATCTGCATAATATTAATATTAATAGGACGCAACCACATGAACTTGTATATACTTGATTGCATATTAAGACACCTAGTTTAAATAACATTTATCAATGCATAAACAATAGATGCATAAATCAAAATCTGCCAAACCCCTGTTCAGCGATGCTATTTGATACAGCCACTCTACAGCCAAGTTTTCACAAAGTATGATATTTGACAGACTCAGTATATTTACAATTATTGGCATAAGTATGTGAGCTGTTTCAATGTTTTTCAGCTAAGCAATATACAGGTATATTGATTGCTTATTCTAATCTAGTCATGAGTTCCTCAGTGTTTTAAGAAAATGTTACTGTACAAGTTGTATTTTATGAGAAGCCATGATATATGAATAAAAATGATATTGGTATATGGATATTGGTATTTGTTGAGTGTATGTACAATACAAACCCTGATCTATTTTACAGTTTAGGCCTAAGATAAAATATTGCTTGTTTTCCCTTTACCGACCGACTCGCCAAAACGCCGCTACTCGACACATTTTATTGGCCGATTAAAACAAAACAAAAATTATTTCGTTTCGCCAAAAAAAAAATCAAATTCGTTCTGCAAAAACAATTACACAAAACAGAATATACAATATACATACACACATCTTGTCAAAACAAAATAAAAAAGATTTTTCACCTACCTACCTACTCGGTACCCTGAGAGGCGAGTAGGTAAATGGGAAACAAACAATTTTTTAAGGGTGGCCTTATTATATACTTATATATGTGATTCTTTTCTCCAATGTGGAACACTGATTCACTTGCATGAACTCACTCTTCTGTTCTTATCCAGTAGAATGTATCCACTTTATTATCTGTTGTTATAAAACAATCAATCATAAGGTGTTGTATAGAGTCCTAGGTCTGGAACTCTCATCATCAGAATTTCTGGTTTTGAAAGGCCTCCAGTCTGGTTTTTGATCTGATAATCTTAACAATATAATTGTAACACATAACCTAAGCCGTAACTTGAAGCAAAATCTACACAATATGAAATGAGGCAGAAATGAGGCGTATGCAACTCCAGCCTCGAGATTGGACGCTCGGAGCATGTACATATTTATGAGAATTACTGTCCTAATGTCTATAATTTAGACAGTGTCACCGATCATTTTGAATGAATTTACATGAGAATGCACTGGCAGCTCTACTGATTGCTTTCCTTAATAAATTTATCAGCTGAGAAAGAAGCATTTCCTACATACCCAATAATAAATTATAAATAGGATGAAAACAGTTTAAACACTAGCTTATACAACTGTATATATCGATATGTGTGTGTGTGAGCGTGCATGAGTGGGTGGGTGCCTGTGTTAGGTGACAAACCTGCACTGCTGTCGTCGTCTAGTACCATCTCCGCCATCCGAATGTCACAGTCCTGACAGAAGCGCGGCGAATGACTCGGCCCCCGCGGATAGTACTCCTCGCTGTCTGCCGCATACTTGCGGATTGCTCCGCCGTGATGGCTCTCTCGTTCTCGCTGCCACACGTAGTGATCTGGACACAGCTTCATCACCTATGAGGTGCCCATATTTTCTGTTGTGGTTTTTAACTAAAGTAATTTTTTGGGGAAACGTGCAGCAAGAGTCGTTCCAATTTAATAACTTTCACTGACAATTCAATATCGATAAAATAAACCAACAATGCCCGCATTACCTACTGACAAGATCATTTCTTTAATAAGGTAATTTAATTATATGAAGTGATTATGAATTAATAAATATTTTTTTAATGATCATATTTCATGATTTAGGGTACACACATTTTACTCAAATAGGTCTCCAAAAGCTAACTCCTATTAGCTGAAGGTTGGTGTAGTTGACATTATTATAACAAAATTCGTTTAGCTGTGATTAGTTATGTTATACACCTCAGCAGAATGGCCTATTATACTATCCAATGCTGGTTGTTAGGAGTGCTTATGAAATACAAGGAATTTGAAAGGGGAAACAAAGGTGTGCCTTATTTATGGGGACCATATATCTGGTAGTAGGTAGGGTTGTTATGTAGTGACACCTTTTTTCAGATTGGTTTTTGAAAGATTTAGATTGGTTCAGATGGGCATTCATCTAATGCGCTGGAGCATGTTATAAGCCACAAAATGATCAATGCATGATGCTTGGGACCACGGATATAATTACAATATAGCACAAACATGCAAATACCTCTTCACAGCATCTCCTACTGACAAGGGCCCTGTAGTCAATTCTTCTTAACAGCTGGTCTCGTTTCTGCAAGAATCTAGGATATGTTTTTCTCCAGCGATCTCCAAGAAGCCATGGAAATATTTCATATTTTAACTCTTCTTCATCTTCCTCCATGTCATTTGCAAGGTACCTGTACGTAATAATATAATGTATTATTATGTTTAAAAATTCCTGATGAGCCTACAGTTTGCAATGTTGTTTCACTTGTATACTGTATGTGTATCTATGTGGGCTACTGATCATTTTTATTCAAGAAAAATGTGGGACAGTTGTCAATTTTTGGTATTGTAATGTAAAATCCATGACTCCCAATATTGTCCTATATGCCCTATATTCACGTGAAGATGCAGTTTGCTAGTTTCCTGTGCTTAATTCTACTGCAGGTTCTGGCTATGAAGACTGCTCTTTCACATAATGCATGTATGTATAGCTGCATGTAGGGTTTCCTAAACTTTTAACTATAGCTATTATTCATAATTTTATAATTCATATATTTAATAAACCTGTCGATCTGCTCTCGCCCATATACATATAAAAAATAAAGCAATACTTACAATCCAACAAAGAAATTGGTTCTTGTGTATTCACGTAGCTTGAACTGCCCTCGTTTGAAATATGCAAGCACCATTGCCACTAGGAACTACCAAAAACAAAGGTGATTGTGCATGTGAGCTTTTGTAAGATACACGTGCACACAGCAGAAGACAGCTATGCACTTCATGCTACAGCATAGCTGTTCATTGCGAACATTATAGCTCAATGGCGTCATATGATGAGCTCAGCAAACTCAAGTTGGGCCCTGCATTTGGTATGGATGGACGGACTATGCCAACGTTATAAACATGTCAACAAACAGCATAGCAGGCGTGTTTAGTAATACACTATTATGTCACACTATGATGTAATTTGCACAAGCCTCGTCTACACGACTTAAGCTAACTCGAGTTAAGCTAACTCGAGTTAAGCGTTAATAACTCGAGTTAGCGATTATGTAGCGTTTTATTATGCATGCGTGCGTGCGTGTGTATGTAAACGTGTTTGCGTGTGTGCGTGCGTGCGTGCGTGTGCACGTATACGTGCGTGCGTACGTGTGTACGTACACGTGCGTTCGTGCGTGCGTGCGTGCGTGTGCATACACGGCGCGGGCCGTCCCACTCGACCTGAAGGGCGGAGTCTCACTCGCACTGCGAACTGCAAACAAGAGGCAAACATTCACGTCCCCTCACCACATTGTTCTCTCAATCCGTGGCGCCACCTGCTAATGTAACATTCTTTGCTGCGGCTCGAAATCACGTCGATTGTTTACTCTGGTTTCGGCATAAACCAACTCGACAATCATCCGGTAGATTTCGTGATATTCAATAAGCAAAAATACGCAATAAACGTAATGTATGTTAAATAAACTTGATATCTTGTCGACCATATACAGAACAACAATGTATATAATGTAATGTAATGTAATCATGTAATGTTTCTCTAATATGGGTAGGTATGCATGACTCACCCCGAAACTTTACAGGCTGATCAGCCTTTATTTCGACAAAGGAGGCCGGGAATGACCCCTCCTTGCCGTTGACCCGTCCAATCAACCAATCCTCGTTCACGGAGCCAGTGATGACAACCTTGTCACCACTGCGCAGCGAAAGTTCCGACGGACTGCCCGCATCAAAGCTGTACAGCGCGACAGCATGCTTACTGGCTGGTGCTGCTGCCTAGTGAGAAAGAATAAATTCTTTCAGTAGAGGAATTTTTCCAAGTAAAATTATTATCAAACAATTAGGTCTAGATGATAACAGAAACAAACTACAAGCTGAATGCGCAATAACAAATGTCATTGGACATAGAAATGTTATAATCTGTCAGCACACTTGCAGCTTGACTTTCCGATTGCAAGTCGGCACAGAAAAGTTTTCCCACGAAGGATCGTGATCATTGCAACCGGGAGACGATGCCAAAGGAATCTCACTTTCGTTGCCACGGTGACCGCGTCCTCCAGCGGAAGGTCGATGGGTACATGATCGACGAACGCAGCGGGGAACCTGCCCTCGTTGCCGTGGAAATGCCCGACCAGCCAATCATCGTTCACCTTGCTGACCAGAGTGACCTCGTCTCCTTGCTGAAATTATACGATGATCGTTAACCTCAGTAATTAATCGTGACCACGACCAGCATTTCACTACTAACTGCATTTCACACCGATATTATCTTCAGGCCAATGCAGACGTTGTCTTTAGAATGCATGTGGAATTACATAACTTAAAAATCATTGCCAGCATGAAAAAGATTAGGACAATATTACTGTCTGTATGCGTTACAAAGCGTAGATGGAGTCAGCTCCATCATACTGCTCTGAAAACCCCACATATTCGACAGACATATTCAGCCAGTACTGACTTACTTCTGTAAGTGAGGCACACTGGGATTAACATGAATTTATTCACAAAATAAACATAAATTAATATAAATTAAATAAATAGTCCCACTTGCCTAGCAACCTAGTCTCTCTGTTAGAAAAAAACCCAAATCCGATTCAAATAAAATCGAACGCTAACGCACGCCCTGCGTTGCCCCGGGGCGCCACCTGGGAGCCGTCGCCGGCGACTCACCTTGAACGTGAGCTCGTTCTCGCGACCGTCGAAGTCGTACATGGCCGTCGCCACGCGGCCCGCGCACGACCTCTGCATGACCTCCCGCGGGAGATCCTCGACGATCTCCACGTACACGCTTGGGAAGATTCCCGTCCTCCCCGCCAGCTCTCCCCGCAGCCAGTCGTTGCTGACGCGCTCGCGCAGAGCGATGGTGGCGCCCTCGCTGAACGCTAGCTCGTCGTCCTGCTCAGCGTCAAAGTCGAACCTCGCTCGGCAACGCGGCCCTGTCACGACGCCATGATGCTGTGCAGCGGCGCGCTGTAACCACGACAACAGAGCGGATAAACAAACAACATGGCGGGTGAGAGCAGCTCAACTAATTTGCAAGAACCTGGCGGAATGTTCAGCCATACAGGTGGGCATGTATGCATCCATTCTATGCTCCGCCACACATAATTAAGCAGTAACATGACTGGATTATTGATTATTAATTTAAGTACACAGTCCGACCTCCTTTACCCGGCCACGTCGGGACCGACACCCATCCGGATATGGGATTTGGCCGGATATGAGAGTTATGCTCAAACACAGCATTTCTATGCAGTTCAGTATTTAAGGGTTTATGCATGTGATAATGTATTTACTGTGTTATTTACTATGTTGCTATGATTATTTGTAACAAACTGTCGTGTTTTATCGTATATATGAAATGGAAATAAAATGAAATTAAACAGAAATTTTACCAGAAGCATAGCGGACACGAGCGGACAACACACACACACACGCGCACACACGTATGGTTGGTACATCGCGCGAGTTTTGAGCGAGTTTTGAGCAAGATTTTTAGGTGGAAATGAATGAAAAACAGAGAACATACACTGCGAGATCACGGCCGGTTAATAGAGATTTCCGGATAAAGGATGGCCGGATAAATGAGGTCGGACTGTAATCACTTCACAAAGTAATAAATCTGCCGAATATCTGTTAAATCTCAAATTCCTTAGGAACTAATTCTCAATATTAGTACCAATTTACTCAGCATGAGCGTAAAAATCCGTATATGATCCCGAGGACATTTTTGGAGGAAATTTTCCCCTCTGCCCCCGGGATTTCGCTGCTATAATTCGTGCGACGTACCGGCGCTGCTTTCTGCGGCAGCGGAATGACGACCCGGATGTAGCTCTTGGGGAAAATTCCTGTCTTGTTCACGTTCTTCCCCTTCATCCAGTCGTCGTCGACCTTCTCCAGGATTTCAATGACGTCGCCCGTTGTGAAGGAAAGTTCGTCTGCCTGCTGTCCCACGAAGTCGTGAAGCACGATGCCATGCGGACCCGTTACCTGCGTATAACAACAATGATGCCGTGCTGACCCGTTACCTGCGTATAACAACAATGATGCCGTGCGGACCCGTTACCTGTGTATAACAACAATGATGCCATGCGGACCCGTTACCTGCACGGCATCATTGTTGTTATACAGGACCCGTTACCTGTGTATAACAACAATGATGCCGTGCGGACCCGTTACCTGTGTATAACAACAATGATGCCGTGCGGACCCGTTACCTGCGTATAACAACAATGATGCCGTGCGGACCAGTTACCTGTGTATAACAACAATGATGCCGTGTGGACCAGTTAGCTGTGTATAACAACAATGATGCCGTGCGGACCAGTTACCTGCGTATAACAACAATGATGACGACAACGTGGAGCCTGTGTGAACTGGTCTGATCGGTGTGTGCGTGTGCAATCGCGCGTGCGTGCATGTGGACTCTCTATGATACAACACGTACCGTGTAGTGGTATAGAGGATGGCCCGGCCCCGGTCTGATCGGTGTGTGTGTGCGTGTGTGTGTGTGCGTGCGTGCGTGCGTGCATGTGGACTCTCTATGATACAACACGTACCGTGTAGTGGTATAGAGGATGGCCCGGCCCCGGTCTGATCGGTGTGTGTGTGCGTGTGTGTGCGTGCGTGTGTGCGTGCGTGCGTGAGTGTGGACTCTCTATGATACAACACGTACCGTGTAGTGGTATAGAGGATGAGCCCGGCCCCGGGTCTGATCGGTGTGTGTGCTGCATGAGTGAGTGTCGTGCGTGCGTGAGTGTGGACTGCTCTATGATAGCAACAGGACGCGTTAGTGGTATAGAGGATGGCCCGCGGCCCCGCGTCTGATGCGGTGTGGTGTGCTGCTCATGCGTGCCGTGCGTGAGTGTGGACTCTCTATGAATACAACACGTTACCGCTGTAGTGTTTATAGAGGCATGGCCGGGCCGCGGTCTTGATCGGGTGTGTGTGTGTGTGCCATGCTGCGGTGCGTGAGTGTAGGACTCTCTATGATACAAACACGTAATCGTGTAGTGGTATAGAGAGATGGCCCGGCCCCGGTCTCGGAGGCAGGATTGCCCGCCCGATGTCGTCTCCGCTGCCCGCAATCCAGGCCGTGGTCGCTGCCTTACCGCGCCGCCGCCGTGTGTGGGTGACACTCCATGCGGGGGATTAAAGGGGAGGATGAGGAGAGAAGCAGTGCCGCACTGCGCGTTGACGCCCCGGCGCGTTGAAGCCTCTGTGAGCTGAGGTACTGTGCCTCGGCTGGACGAGGCTGGCGCGCGGCATTCTGCAACAAGCAAAGAACGATTGAATCACACGACAAACGCTCGTCATTCGTAAACGACGAATCATTAAACGTAGTCAACGACGTTCCTAGCTTGGGGTGCGACAGCAGACTGACTGTCCCGTCACTCGCATGTCATGCCGCGGATGCAGCAGCAGCAGTTGAATCAGCAAGGAGGAAAAAACTTGCAGAAGAGGAAACCGTACTTACCCGCTTCACGATTTTAAAAAATGGATGTGACAATTTGTGGCTTATTTTCAACTTAATAAATTAAATTTTTACATCTGCGGTACATAAATTGAAGAGCAGTGTGGCTGGAACATTCGAGCGAGGCCGGAATCAAACAAGACGCTCCAGTAAAATTCTGCCCTAAATTTCAAGCACCCCTTACAATAGCGTGCTCACGGTTTCTCACACTTGACTGATTACACGCTGGCTCTCTCTGGCGGCGGGCGGCGCTTTCCCGTCGTCCGAGGCTTCGTAGGGCGCAGCAGCCGTCGGTTCTGCTTCGTTGCGTCAGGCGGCGCGAGAGGACGTGGCGCCACCTTCTTTCGGCCCCGCGTGCAGCGACGTCTTGCGGACGGCGCGCGCGGTAGGAGCCGCAGCTGCTCCAGGCTGCCTTTGGGCGTCAACGCTTCGAGGGGGACCACCGTCGCCGCGGCCCGACACGCGTCCTGAGGACAGCGGACTGTCGCCGCGCGAACACCGGCGCGACTGCTCCTGCCGTCGAACGACACCCAGGCCGCACAGGCAGTTTGTGCGCGCCCGCGGGGAGCTGGTTGCCTCACCTGGCTGGGTCGCCGCTTGTGACGCACAGGCTTCTGGGTAGCGTCGGTTTCTGTCGCGCGCAGTGACTGCAGGGGGCGCCGGCGTAAGGCGGTGGGCGGTGACTGAGGGGGCGCTCGGCGTAGGCGCGTGTGACTCGGCAACGTCGTAACGGACGCAGACGGCCCGGCATCGTCACCGGCGCGCACGCCTCAAACGGATCGCGAGATCGACGCGGCGCGCCCACTGGGATGCACAGCGGGAGGAAGCGGCGGCCTAGCGTGGGGCGGCAAACTCGTAGTCAAAGAGGTCGCCGACTGAAGGTCAATGCTCAAGGAGATTGACCGGATGCTTCGGTGCGAGCCCAGCAGCGGTTGGGCGCCGCCTCGGCGTTGCGGCTCCGGTCCGGCGCCCCTGGTGGCTCATGATGTCCATCGCTGCCTGTAAGTCTGATGCATGCGTAAGTCTTCTAGGCATCACTCTCTGCGTACGTCGGGCCGGTTCCTGCAAACAAACAGGGTCACAGTGAGACGATCACCGACGACAACAACAACCCAATCAAACGTTTAATGAACAATCCCAAGTGGAAAGTCAGTTTTACAACAGTTTGCCATAGATACGATTCATCACTACTATGATGCTCAGCTACAGCAGTTATATATATGATTACATCACTACTATGATGCTCAGTAACAGCAGTATATATATGATTACATCACTACGATGCATGCTCAGTAGCAGCAGTCTATCATGTATATGATTACATCAACTACTACGATTGCTCAGTATCAGCAGTCTATATATATGATTACCATCACGTACTCCCCTGATGCCTCAGTTACCGCCAGTTCATATATATGATTACATCACTAACTATGATTGCTCAGTACAGCAGTGTATATATATGCATTACATCACTACTATGATGCCGTCACTACAGCAGTTATATATATGATTACATCCACTACTACGATGCTCAGTAAGCAGTTATATATATGTATTACATCACTACCTTTTTACGATGCTCAGCTACAGCCAGTTATATATATGGATACATCACTACTACGATCTCAGTACAGCAGCTTATATATGATGATTACATCAATACTATGATGCCTCAGTCAGCAGTTATATATATGATTACATCACTACTCATGCCATGCTCAGTACAGCAGCTTATATATGATGGATTACATCACTACTACGATGCTCAGTACAGCAGTTATATATATGGTGTGAGATACATATAGTAACCAACATAGTAGTTTTATCCTAGTAGCTTGGTATAATAATTAAAGCACATACCCTGCTTTTAAGTTTAGTATCTATATATATATGTATATATATACTTATATATTATATATATATATAATATATATATATATATATAAACTTAATCAATCTGCATATATCATGTAAAATTTTGCCAATGAGTGATCATTGCAATCATGCCAATACTCCTCAATAAATAAACCAGATTTTACATTCGAGATGACACGCATTGACCGACCGAGTCATTTACGTGATGCATACTAATAGTCTAATACTATGCACCTCCCCTAAACGACACTGTCATTGACCGACCGAGTCATTTACGTGATGCATACTAATAGGGCCAAAACAAAATATATGTGTGGTTACCGTTACATGCCGAAAAAAAATTAGTAGGTAGGTAGGAAAAACATTCTATTTTCTTGAAATATTTTATTTACGAACTGGTCATGTCCGGAGGATGTGCGTTGTGCCTTTTGAAGCAGAAACTGTCCAATTCATATTTTTTTTTCTTTTTTTTCTGACTTTAAAGAAAATGGACAATAAAATGTTTAGGGTAGCTGGGAATAAATAGGGTCGGTCGGGAAACCGTAACCACACCTATATTTTGTTTTGGCCTAGTCTAATACTATGCACCTCCCCTAAACGACACTGTCATTGACCGACCGAGTCATTTACGTGATGCATACTAATACTATGCACGTACCTAAATGACACTGTCAAATCAGGGAGTCCGACAGTAAATCAGGGAGTATTTGACTCCGGACTCGCGTTAATTTCGCACCCTGTAATACTATGCACGTACCTGTAAGTTTGGCTGCTGGCCTCGTACACCTGGCGGCTGCCTAGACATCCTAGATTGGTCGGCTCCGTTCCTGCAAAGCGCAGGACGTTAGACATGCGACGGTGAAACACTCGCGTGAGATGTCGGATGGTGATAGAAGAGAGCCGGTCAGGCAGGACGGCTAATACTAATAGCATTCCGTTCATGGCGGAACTGCGCAGGACTAAATATGGGACTGGATACAATAGGTGGGTTTGCCCGCCACGTGTGAACGAACCAAACTGGTCCCTGATAAGAGTCACACTTCTTTCCTGCCACACAAGAGGTTTGTAAAGCAAACGGGTGTAGAAATGACATCACAAATACACACACATGCATGCACCCTCGAGCGCATACGCACACACATACACACACATACTTGTGCAAATGCATAGGAATAAACACCACCACACTATAGCATTTACTAACGTGCAGACACAAATGCACGCACAGAAACATACGATACACACCTTGCATATCCATTCATTCCAACTGTGGACAAACTAGAAATGCACAACCACAAAAAAACAAAGCATATATGCTGGTGTGGTTCCTGGCCACATATATACACAGCCTCTGTGTGAACTTTGTACAGCCATGAGTCAAATACTAACCGCTACTCAAATACACTCAGTGACTAGGAATCACATGACAGTCATATAAGGGTACACACGTTAGGCCAAAACAAGATATATGTGTGGTTACCGTTACATGCCGAAAAAAAATAGGGTAGGTAGGTAGGGAAAACATTTTATTTTCTTGAAATATTTTATTTACGAACCATGTCCGAAGGATGTGCGTTGTGCCTTTTGAAGCAGGAACTGTCCAATTCATATTTTTTGATTTTTGATATATTTTTTTTTTTGTTGGTTTAATCGCCCTTCAATAAACTCAAGACTCACAGGGATCATAGCTAAGACATGTGTCTATAAT